GGCAAATCTACCAGTCAAAACCTTTTATAGGAAAGTTAATCTCTTTAGACAGGAAAGGAGGACCTTTATGGCGGTTCATCTTCATACACTGGAATTTCCCGCGTCTAATGGAACGAAACGGGGACCACATCTGCCCTTTGTGTCTTAATTCTGAATCTCAGATGCACTTTCTGATGGATTGCGAAGGATTACTTCAGATAAGGCAAAAATACCCAGAAATAGTTCGACAAAATTCAAACACGACACTCGTTGAGTTTCTTCTGGATTCATCCACCCCGCTGGAGGTGGTGAACTCCTTTTTAACCGAAGCTATATTTTCCCGGAAAGCCAGCATAGAAAGTTAAATGATGTCCTTTTTGTCTACGACGCCTCTGACGATACCCATGTTTGTCATGTGTGTCATGTTTGTCATATTTGTCTTGTTATTCCTCACGTCTTTGTCTCTAAAGTAAATTTACGTCGATTGAGTACTCTATGTCGACCAATAAACTTGAATAAACTTGAATTGAGCTAAGAAATAACTGGAGTTTGTGCACCCATAGGAACAGTATAGGCATGCGTGCTGCAATTGAAAGCCAAACTTGTTGGGCTCGTGGGCCCTAGTCACCATTCACTCCTATAGGATTTCCCCAGATTTTTCAACTCAACTTTATTTTAAATACTAGTACTAACTCTTAGGCAAACAACCCCGGCCCAGCAGTCAAAGGGTTTTCAGAGGAACCAGTAAACCCTATTGAGTCGAGGATTTAGAGAAACGGGATGGTTACGACGCCGCCGACGTCGTCTTCCCGATCCAAGAGTAAGCGCTCCTGTGCCATACAGGTAGGATACCGCCGCTTTCACCCTTGGGATTGACTCCTTGTGAGGGATAAGAGGAATAAGGCTTTCGATTGGTGAAAAGGTTAGGATCCCGATAAATATATGGGTGGAGATCTCATACCGGCGAGGAAGTCATCCTTCCTCCAGAGATAAAAGGGGACTCCAAGTGTAATGTGCTGGGACGTTTTACACGTCCCTGCGGAAACGTCCGTATTGGACCCCTTAAAGTAGGGAGCGGGAGACGTGCATAGAATGCCTCTCTCTCCCAATGCTATGTAAGGGATGGCATGGAGAGATATGACTGAAAGTTTTGGGTTCCGTGGTGTAGTGGTAGCACACATAAACCTGGAACCTGGAGGCCCTGGATTCGATTCTCGCCCTCTCCAACATTCTTTTTTCGTTCTCTTATGTCATCCGAACTCTTCCCCGATCCCCCGGGCTATTAGGTCCTCCAGAATGGATCCAACAATCGCAATAGCCAGAAAAAAAATGCAAGCCCGAGAGAGGGAGATGTACTAGAGGCATGCAGAAGACTCTATGGGGAGAGCACACGAGTTTGTCGAGAGTGGGCGCGCATGCCCCAAACCAACGACCACGACCACCTCCACGGATCACATTAGATATTATACGCTGGCCGTCAAGTATGTAGAAATTTGAATCGTCTATTGTGAGCATAACGTCTACTTGACAATCCACTGTTCATTGCATTACCCATTCAGAACTGAACCGCTTCATTACATTTATACACATATAGCTTACAGTACACAGGGAGATTCTGCTCCTAAACACCATCACCATGATATTCGAGCTCAGTGCCACAATCAAAATTGTGAACGCCTCGGTTTAGCACGTTTTCATGAGACTCAAGACGACATTGCTGATTTCGTCTTCCTAGTACATTCAACACTCTTCATCACCGATTAGCTAATCGACTATTAGCGTTAGCGTATGGTACAGACACCAATGATTCTGAAACAGTACGGACTGTTTCCAAGAACTTGTTCGACGTCACAGAGGGATGTTAGTGCATGTGCGGCACAATGCTAAAGACTAATTCCTGAAAATGCAAACCTTGCATTAAGTTGCTTAGCTGGCTGGCTGCACGGCTCTCCTATTCCATTTTTTCTTCGCGTTCAACCTCACCTCGCAAAAATCGCCACCATTTTGATGGGATGTGCAGATTAGCACCACCACCACTGCTGCTGCAGCTTTTGACCTTTTCGAAATAAAGTATTAGAAGACAACGTTGCCCAAGAGGCACGTAAAGAGTTTCGAGGACGTTCAACATGGTACCAACCCTAGTAGCACATAACATTGAATCAACATTGATTCGATGTTGTTCCAATGTTATGTGCTACAAGGGAAAGAGGTATTTGGACGCCCAGTGTGCTGGAATGAGAACCTTTTTGGCACTCAGTAAAGGTGCCTTTTAATCACGAACCTTCTGCATTTGAAGGACATTCGTCGAACGTTTACGAAATTTCCCTCAAACATATCATCGGTATCTATCTAACATCGGCTGAAAGAATAAAGGGTCGCACAACCGAAGATCGATAGAGCCAAAGTAGTCGCTATAACGGGTCAATTCCTGATACAGATTGAATTAGTCCACAATACTTTCCATAATGTAGCCGATCTTTCTTCGCATAAACCAAAGCAGAAGATACTCAAGTTCTCGAACAAATCCGTCATCAGAGATATCCCGATCCGAGGAGTCTCCGGAGAACTCAGGCTCGAACGAGAGAGGGAGGATGGTTCAATTTCCAAGGTGGCTTTAAGTAAAATAATTTCAGCATTCATAATCACATCTCTCATGAAAAGGGGTTTCTATGGAGGGAATGTCTGACTCCTGAATATAAGATACTAGCTGAAGTACCCGACGTTGCCCGTGGAAATTCAACATTTCAATATTTCATGCATAACAAATTGGGGAACGTTAGCCTCATGGTTTCCTACAAGTTACATATCTTGGGTGTCGCAAAATGCATTCGGCCCCCTTTCCATTTTTATTTTTTTGGGTATATATTTTTTTAATTTACATATTTTACATACGAGGGTTGGATTTTTAATAATGGCAACAGTGTATAAATTTGAAAACAGGAATTAATTGCACTAATTTATCATCTACATGCCTTCAATATACTCGTCCCCTAACTCAATGACTCGCTGCCATACTTGTAGAAGTCGTCGAATGCCATCAGCGGAGTGATTATTGTTGATGTCTGCAATCACTCGCCCTATCGCTCGCAAAGATTTCATCGATGTTGCGAAAACGGTTTCCACGCAATGGTTCCTTCAGCTTTGCAAGCAAATCAAAGTCACAAGGACTCGTGTCGGGTGAATAGTTCTAATGTCTCCCACCCCTAGAGACGCAATAAATCCTTGACAGGAGCTGCAACGTGACAACTTGCATCGTCGTGCAAAATGATTGGCTTATCGATCAAAAATTGAGGACGTTTGCGTTGCGTCTCAGTGCTGGTCTCAGATGGTGTTGCAAGTGATGGGCATAGTACTGAGCATTTACTGTTGTACCCTGAGGTACGGCATGACACAGGATCACACCTTCCCAATCATACGCCACAATCAACATGACCTTAATGTTGCTAGGCTCTTGTCGAAGCTTTTTGGGACGTGGCGATGAAGAATGCCGCCACTCAGAAGACTGACGCTTCAGTTCCGGTTACATCCACCCCGCTGGAGGTGGTCAACTCCTTTTTAACCGAAGCTATATTTTCCCGGAAAGCCAGCGTAGAAAGTTAAATGATGTCCTCTTTGTTTACGACGCCTCTGACGATACCCATGTTTGTCATATTTGTCTTGTTACTCCTCACGTCTTTGTCCCTAAAGTAAATTTACATCGATTGAATACTCTATGTCGACCAATAAACTTGAACTGAATTGAATTGTAATCATTAGGGACGTCAAGTCTATGTTCACTGATTAATCTAATGTGATACTGATGATAGTAAAATGATGAAATTTGCGGGCCTAAGTAGCTTTGGAAAATAAAATTGTGTTTAAAAAGGGTGTATTTTATATCATGCAAACTGTGTAGATCGGTTAATTTCCAATGTGCTATGGTTGGTCACACCTCATACGATTACCGAACATTCTAATATTTCTTTCAGGAAAGTTTGAACTCTCCAGGTCATTTGACTGAGGAGCAATAGTCATGGAATCCTTAAGAAAATTCTGGTTTTCCGTATATCAGGAGGTAGTAGTTTCAGCAGTACTCTTCAGATTCCCACTACCCACCAAGAAGCCAGATTCTTGTGGCTGCATTTTTAGTGGGTCTCCTTTCTTGAAATGAGAGAGACCACTTATGGGTTTGTTCTGCCCATGTGTGTATCTGTCTGTGCGTCTAATGATAATTAAGAAAAGAATAGCCTGATCACAGCAAAATTGGCAAGATACAGGTTGATTTCACTTTGTGGTGAATTAGTAACAAAAATTGGACATTTTCATTGAAAATTTTTTCAAAGGCACGAGCCCATAAGGATCAGGACCACTGTGCACATGTGCAAACAATCCAGGTCTTGCACATGGTACTATCAGCAACCAGTGCTGTTAACTCCCTTCCAGCATTTGTTGCAGATGGATCCAGCTAGGCACAGCCCTCCATCCTCTCATCAACAATTCAAAGGCGCCATTTGCCTGTGTTTATCAAATCTAACAGAAATTAGATTTTTGATGGTCAAGAACCGGAAAGAGATGGCTTTTTGTTCAATTAAGTGACAAAATTATGGTCCCTTTTACTGAAAGGAGGCCCACTACTGGGCTGAGCTTGCCCAGCTAGTTATTGTAATGTTTATGTTATGCAGTGTTGTCAGGTTGTATCATTCAAAGGAAAAATCATCAAAAGGGTGCTTTTAAAAGAAGGGCTGGAAGAGACTCCACAGAACAGAACCCACAATTTGGTAGAGAACTCTCACTATTCTCTTCCCACTCCAGTCCTTATACTCTCAACTTGCAATAAAAAAAACCAAGCATTACCTTATCACCTGAGGCCCAATGACATAACAAAATCAGGAATACTATGACAAGGGGTGCGTCTTTTTCTCCAGCTGCTAGTGAAAAAGACGCGTTGGCTAGGCACGACCATGTCCTCGAATGACGTCACTCTTGGGCAAGCAGATGGCAGCGGAACATTGCAAACTATGGGAGTGCTGAGCAGCTCAGCCTTAACATGGCATCATGGGATGCTGGAGGCCTCAGCAGAGCTAGTAGAGCTGCTAGGAAGAAAGAAGCACCCAGGGGCACTGCGTTAACACTTGAAGCCCTGCAGCCTTCATATGACATCCTACACCCATAATCAATTCAAATTGGCAAAGCTTAAAGTCTTAAGAACATCCTTCGTGGCATCAATGAGTAAAAGCATTTGAGCAATGCTTCCATCATGATGGAAAAAGTTCCAATATATGTCTGCACTTTGAAAAAAATCCAGATGACCTGGGCACTTGAAAATTTAAGGAAACAATTCTTTTGCCACATTCCAATGTGGCAAAGGAATAGATGACATCATGTGTTATTGAAATTCTTTCCTGAATTTTAGAATGAGAGCATGCTAGTGTCCCAGAATATCTCTAAACTAAAAGTTGCAAGCTTCAATTTTTCTGCTTAAAAAAGTCAGGCATTATGCCTGCAACAAAGCCAAATTATTAGAAATTATGGCTGTACTGATGTATCTTCAACCACCCGTATCAGCCAGGTTTCAAGCTGTTCATGCCAGTGCCCAAAGTAGGGGCAAAACAATAAAAAATTACTTGAGCTTTAAACACATCTGGGTGCTGGCCCTCATGTCTCATTGAATGCCACTCCTGCCTGCTCCTCCTGAACAAAAATACCAAACAGATTATGTCTGAGTCTGCGTATAGGAACCAGCAGAGGAATACTGCAGTAATGCTCTTAATAGCCAGCAATAGGTTACAAGCTAACCACTGGCTGATGAAGACCAACAGGCTGCACAGGTCTAAAAGTGGTCTGTATTATTTTAAACAGACCAGTATGACATAAGTATCACAGGGCTGCCAAGTAAGCCTATTGGAATTAGTATGCAATTTCATGTCTTCTCAATTAACAGACCACAATCAGCCATCATATGTGGTTATCAGTATAGACCTATTAAAATTGTTAGGAATGCAAAGTATACAATGGTGTGTTACACTACATGATACGAGGTATCAAAATCCTATTTATTTTTTTTTAACTGCCAGCTACCTACATGAAGTCTTATTGGATAGTACTGACGTGACATGCTGGCGAGGAGCAACATACAGGTATCTCAGAATTTCTGTCTTTGCTTTGGAAAGGTCTGAAGCATTGTGAAAACTCTTAAAAGGTGTTCTACTCAAGGTTACTCATGTTGATTTTATGTGTGGAGAAGATTAGATAGAGGGGTGGGTTAACAAGTGTTCAAGAGTCAACATGGAATTATGGTAATAGAATCCCATGTTCCCAGTACCTTATTACCCAGTACCTTGTACAGTGAAACTGTTAAGCTTGTATCGTATCAAATGGACATATTAAAAAAAAAAAATGACTTTCTGAGGTAGTTTATACTGGTATCATTGCCTGGTAGTACACTGCAGCCCAAGAATAATCCTCATGCATATCAAACTTGAGGTTAAATGAAGGAAAATGTGAGGTACTTGAGTTGAGAGCCAATTTCATTGTGAAATTTTTCCAGCAATAAAGAGATTTCAAATTAAGTTATAGAAATAATCAGCATGAGAAGTAATCAACCTTTTCATTTTTCTAAAACATTAGAAGGAAAACATTATTGGAGGGACATCCTGAGCCAAATGGTGGGGATATTGTCCCATATTTGCCAGAAGGGGGGGATCCAGTGACCCATCCAGGATCATATCTGGAGAAGTGGGAGGAGGAGGTTTGAAATTTTAAATTTTTACTGTAATGGCTACTTTTTCCATACATGAAATTTCTTATGTGGCTAAGAACATGGACAAGGGGGGTAAGGACCAGGATCTCCTGGGAATCCTCTCAACTATTCTGCTCCCAGATCTCCTGAGGAATTAGTTTCTGGCTATGCTACACTCCTGATTCCCCCCCCCCCTCCCCCACATTTGAATGTCTTAGATGTGCTGCTGGACTTTGGAGCTGAACTCAACTCATCCTTTGTTATTAAAATATATTCTTAGATACTGATATTATGCTCATATATACTGTTTTGCATGATTAACCCTTTCACTGCTATGATCAAGTGTGGAAATGTATGTCTTGTTTTGGTATTTCTTCCTGTTCTTACCTGAGATTCATCAAGACAATATGAACCAATCCAGTGATACACATACATAAGGTAAATGGAACTTTTTATAAGTAGAGCCCACCATGTCGCACAGAGCAAAAAAATTCAGTACAGGGATGTATCAAGAAAAAGAATGTAGCTGTGAAAGGGTTAAGCATGCTTCTGGCATTCACTATGGTGACATTTCTATTCAGCTGAAATCTCTAGCCTTGGAATAAGAATAATCCTTTTCATTTCTCATTTTCTAAGTTGACGAAGTCACTGCTCGACTGGGGTAATGATTATTTTTTTGTCTGTTGATCTGGATACACAGTGGGGAGCAAAGGCACTGAAGAATATGCTAATAGTGCCCCCAGGGTCAGGGATTGTGCATCAGGTCAATCTGGAGTACCTGGCTCGGGTCGTGTTCCAGTCGGACGATGCTTCTTCTCCGTTGCTTTTCCCCGACTCCCTTGTTGGCACAGATTCCCACACGACCATGATCAATGGACTGGGGGTTTTTGGATGGGGAGTTGGAGGTTAGCTATCTTTTTTTATATATCATGCTTTTAATCCATGCAGTTTCCCACATGGTCATGGTAAATGGTCTAAGGGTGGTGAGTGGCCAGCATCTCATTCCTCTCATCGTATGGAATAGGGAGTAACAGCAAGAGGGCAATGACCAATGACCAATGCATGCATTTCTTGAAATAATGAAATAATGGAGGACAAGAAGAAACATTAAATAATGGAACTGACAGATTAAATAAGTAGTTTCCTTCACCTGCTTCAAAGGGAATAAGAGCATAAGACTTTCTCAATATGGAATTGAGCAACCAAGAAATTGAGGTATTCTTTAATTTATCACGTGTTTCTATCACCATCAGATGGATGCTTTATTGAAAGGCTGCAATGGCGGTTTCCATAGAAATCTCAAATAACGATGGTATCATCCTGCTCTCCTTTGTAATTTTCTTTCATAAGCATACTTTGAAATAACATGCATGTTTTTTGTGTATTGACTAGTGATTTTGTGCATGTTTATGCATTTCTGGAGCATTCTGAAGTGGTGAAATTTTAGCCACTTGCACTGGGCTTCAGATTTGCAGTATTTTCAGCAAAATTGTGCATGTTGACATCTAAGACTTATGAATAAAACCAAAAATTTTGGCTCTCTATTTTCAATGGTTTTCAAGAAAAGTGGCCTAGCCCCCAAGAGGACAGGTGACATTAAGGGTTAGAGTGCTATCATTGGCCTTGGTCAAGCTAGAAGAGTCTTTGAACTCCAATTGAATGAGACAATGTGGAATTACATTAAATGCAACTTCTTCGACTTTGTCCATTATAAATTGAGTTACACAATTTCAAAATATATAACTATTGCCAAATTTTGCATGCAAATTTTGAGCACTAGGATGCATGGTAACAAAGAGCTTTTGTACTGTAGACAAAACAGCTTGTATTATGGACAAAAGCAATGATTTAATAAATAAAATTTCAACTTGCCATGTTGTTTGGAACCACTTAAAATTAAACTCCAATACTGTCCTTTTTTCAAACGAACAGTTAATACTTCCTGTTTTAAATTAGGTCCAAAATTTAGACTGCCAAATGAAAGCTCTCTTTTCATTGATATATTACTCAATTCCCAGAAGAAAAATGACTAAAATTGGATCCCTGGCTTAACTAAGCCCGATTCCCAGGGATCCAATTTGACCTCACATTTGGCATCATTATCCCTATTATGTGCTTGCAACAATAAAATATCAATACTCATGTTAATGGATTTCCTAATGAAACGATTTAGTTGCTATCTTTGTTGCATGCATGCACATGCATTTCAGAAGATCCAGGCTTCAGAATAGAGTTGCATTCCTTTAAACTGTATTACAGCTGACAAACTTTGTGGCACTGACATTTGTCAATTGTCAGTTTTCAGTCAGTTGAAAGACTATTTAGATTCATTTTAGATATATTGGTTATATAAACCAGTTGAAGTTGCAAGCAAAAGTTGATGTTGAGATGGAAAATCCATACTTTACTGGTTGAAAGATGCACCTAAAGATTCCAGAATTATTGGTCTAGGTGGAAAATTCAAAATTAAAAAGCAAGACATCATATTTCTCATGGCTCAGTCTCAATATTCAGAAAATCTCATCTTTGCCTTTTATAGCTCCAGCCCTGTACACTGTTGTGAAAAGAAAAAAAGGAGATGAATGCCACTTTAATTATTGGTTGAAATTAAACATGAAGGAAAAGCACTGAGGATGCAATATTTTGTCATTACAATGGGAGCTTCACAGGTTTAGGGTTCGATGGTGGCAGTGGTACTTCGTAGCAACTTTGACTATTGAGACCCAGAGTTAATACTTATAGCATCTTTAGATATATTACAGAGAACCTAAAATGGCCTGCCTAAAAAGACCTAAATGATCTTACAATTCAATTCAAGGGAAACTCAATCCAAATATTCCTTACCCGTAAGTGGCAAATAATTTTCAAATATATGAACTCTAGAAAGGCACAATTAAAACCAGAGGGGGCGAATTTTCTGGTACTGTCTGTCTTCTCATAGAAGCAAGGGAGTGAAAATGAGCAATCTCTAAAGGGTGAGTCTCAGGACATTTAACGGCCAATAAGATTTGTCTATTTATATTGTTTGCTTATTTCAGATAAATCCGTTAAACCAAAATGGCGGATACCAGTCAAATTACAATGGCAGAAATGGCTAGTTGCAGTGGTATGGTCCCACGAGAAAAAAACAATGAAACAGTTGCAATAAGACTGATACATTGGTTTTCACAACGCACGTTAGGAAGAATCATCCTTTGCCGTGACAACGGCAGACGTCATTCTGACGCTCTTCATACCTATGAAATATATTACTATTAATTATTGCATTACTGTAATATGTAGCGGTAATTTGAAGTAACATCTTGCAGGAGCGGTGTTCTGTACAATGTCCTATGACTCACTCAAAAAAAAGCAACTAAATTTGACTTTCCTTGATGCAGTTGAATCCGGTGATATTTCAGGAATAGAAGCTGAAGCAGTGATGCTAGGGCAGTGCATCTCCATGGTACTGCCTCCTGTGGTGGGCTATCGCATAGTCGGACATCTGAATCCCCTGGCCACCGCGACTGATGTCGTGCTCACCATCACGAAGGTCCTCCCAACAGCTTCAGTCTAAACGTCTGCGTCGAAGCATTCCTAATAATTCATGCAGTTTTCCGGGAATTATGTCTGCTTGAATATAAAAGCTTAAGAATCCTTAAAGACAAAGCAGACGTTATTGCGGGATGCAATGTACGGAAAAGGGGTGGAAACAATATTGAAAATTTGTACAGTAAGTGGTAACGGCTAAATTAAATTTTAAAATGGCTTGAAACTCACAACTTATTCTCAACTGAATGAGTTGAGAGTTGTGAATTAAGAGAGTGAATGCATCAACCGGAAAGCGCTTATAAGCAGCAATGCAATGTAAAGAGTTTCAAGATTTACAAAAATATCTTGTCCCATCTATGGGCCCCTCATGTAACTGTTACCCAGTGGCAATTTTCACCCGACAACAGGTTCTCAGACGGTCGAGTTGAGTCAGATATAAAAATCTGAATCTTGCCCATATGGAAAGAAACTTGAATAGCTCAGCTATAGTAGCTCGCAACACTTCGCTCAAGTAGAAAAAAATGTTCAACTCACTATTTAGCACCTGAGAGAAGTGGGAGTCGTGGGGAAGCTGGTCGAGTTCTTCGGGCCTGGAGTGGCATCCTTAAGCATCGCAGACAGGGCGACCATCAGCAACATGTGTCCAGAATATGGGGCTACTCTCGCCTTTTTTCCTGTCGACATCAACACCTTGCAGTACCTCACACTAACTGGTCAGTGTTCTCGGTTTGCAGAAGAGGGTGGGGTCTCGAATAGCATCTGCCGGGATTACCAGTTACGAGATTTGGGTACTTTCACTGCCGCAGGAAGAAAAGAAGCCATCGGTCGGATCGAAGCTTACCTGAAAACAGTGAAGATGTACCGCCAATATGAAGATGCGGCTCAAGACCCAGTCTTCTCGAAGGTGACAGGAATTGCAGAAAAAGAAAACCGTTTTAACGGATACTTCCATCTATAAGTTTACTAACAATAATAGACGCATGACCTAGACTCATGATAAGCCCCACAGGTCCAGGGGAGAGGGTAGGATGTGCCAGAGGATTGAACTGGTGAGACGAAGGGGGTGAGGGGTCACGACCTCTTGTAGTTCCCCAACCCGTTAGAACGCAGGGCCATTCCAAGAATGGAATTATGGAAGGATATTCTCTAGACTAATAATGCTAAGCTTTGTGCTAAGCAAAGTGTTGCAAAGTTAACCTATTTCCTTATCTCAGGTGGTGGAGTTGGACTTGGGAAACGTGGTACCATCCGTAAGTGGGCCAAAAAGACCACAAGACCGAATTTCGGTAGATGAGCTGAAGCAAGAGTTCCTCTCGAACCTAACCAACAAGGTGAGTCGAAGAATTGAGAATCGCCCTCAAGTT